AACGAGCCTCCTGGTGGCCGATGAGACTTCCAGTCTCGGCCCAGGACCTCCGGGTCCCATGTGAATGGTCAACTGAATAGGGCTCGGAGTCAACTCCAAGACGTCTTTTATGGGACTCCCCAAAACAGATGTTTGGGCTTTCCTCGTGTTCCCGTACCCCGGAAAAAGGACATGCCCACCTGGCTCCCCTGGATGTTGCCCTTAGATCCTGGCGCTAGAAGGAAGGCTTGGATGCCCTCAAATGGGCTCACAAAAAGGCTAGTTGCGCAAGAACACAATTGAAAGGAGGTCGGTACCTGAGGACAAAGAGACAAACCAAGATGTTATCTAGAACCCCCCCCTCTCCAAAAACAAGAGACAGGGCACGTGAATGCGAGCTTAGAGGATGGAAAACAAATGGGTGTGCCTTGTTTCAGGGAACCCTATTTGGATTTGTAGGGACATCAACAGGTGCCCCAACCTAAAAAGGGGTCTCCTACTTTTAGCCACGGGATGGCCACAAATGCATCCTTCCCCCCACCCAGGCTGTTTTTAAGGCCCGGGCCGGCCAACTCAACATCCAGCGGCCCGAAATGAGCGCAGCCCCACTGAGGGCCTCGTATTAGCAGACCCCACCACGAATCCTCGGGCTTCTGTTGGGGATAAGGGGGCCGGACTTGTGTCATTCCCAGAAATCTGCTTGATGCCGGTCCCATTCATATTCCGCACAGGTCAAAAGAAATCCCAGAAATGATGGCCGTGGGCCAGGCCCAAACAATTCGCCCAGCGATTGGCTGCTTGAACCACGGCAATCATGCGCAACCAACGGCTCCAAAGCCGGGCGCGGGGCAGGCCGAAAAGTCGTGCCGCAGGACCTGTGTGCAAGCGGAAGGGGGCTCAAAACCACGGACCCTCAGGAATGGAAGGACCCCTATAAACCATCCAACTCGCGGTTTCCCGAAGGAAAGTGCGAGATAAGCGCCTAAATCATTAGAATGGGGGCATGGGGGTACTTTAAACCATATTTAGCCATGCGTGTCCATCAAAGTGACAATCAATTGCCCTCCCAAACTCTTTAGTTGAAAAGGAAACCGCCGGAACCCAGCATTTAAATGAGAGCCCTGGAAATGCCACTACTTTCATGCACGGGGTTCGCCCTGGCAGATCAACTACTGGTACGTGAAAGATTGGCTTGGGCTCGCGCCCGGCGCATGGACCCCACGCGCAGCTCGAAGGTGGCCGCCTGCAACCCCTGACTTGGTGGTTTAGATTTGTGGTACGGAGATTTGAACCCCTTAGAGGGAAGCTGGGATTTTGACCAAATGGTGACAACCAAAGGATATGAGGCTTGGGGGGTGCGGCATTAGCAGTGTGTTTTCCCTTGCATTAAGATGTTTGGGGGTAGTGTTCAACGAGATTGATGGGGAACCAAGGTGCAGCGGGACAGTCACACTTGTTCGATCATTTTGTGAGTCCCTCACTTGAAGAGCTTTAAATGGGGATAAGACAAACCCTCACCTAACTATGGGGGATGGAGCCGGGGGCGTGTCACTCTCCACTGTGTCGGTTGGAAATACGGGTCCTAGGGATGTACATTGTTCTATATGGGCGTCATTTGGTTAAGGAACTCCATTTTGCTTGTTTTTATACTGGGAAACCAAAAAGGAACACTGAAGACCGCCATATTAGCTGGATTCCCAAAATTAAGACAAACCCATCTAGTTCCTCAAGGCTGGCTTTACAAAGAAAGACCACCCCATGGGGCACCAGCTGTCCCGAAACTCAGATGACGCCATGTGTTCAAAAACGAAACCAATGGCCGCCAGTCCGGCCATCCCACAAGTCGCCAGCCCTTTCAGAACCATTGCCGGGCTTCGCCAAATCAGCCCAAAACGTACCCTCGGAAAAATTGGCACAGCTTTTATGTATGGCCTAAGGCCTGGCCGTCTCAGGCGCACGCGGTGCTTTCCGCGGCCGCGTCCGCGTCCGGCACCGCGACCAGGTACAGAGAACACCCGCCCCTCGTGGATCGAATTGGAGACCCAGGTGATCCCAGGTGTCCCAATCGAAAGGACTGAACGACTCCCCATCCAAACCACCAAGGCTTACCTGACTCTGGCCCCCAACGCTCAAGGCTGTTCGATGAAATCAGCTCACCTGCCCCTCACCAGGATTTCTTTCCAGGCGATCACCTTTTCAACCCCGCTAGCAGTGGCCGAAGGGGAAAACACAAAGCTCAATTTTGGGCAACTGACGTAGAAAAGCGTCCCACGTCCTAACTTTACGGGGCCGAGTGCAATGTTAGAGTTGAACAACCGGTTGATTCATGAGTCAACGTTAGAATGGTAAGGGCCGCCGAAACACCGAAAACTCAGCCCGAAGTTCCAAGTCAGGCAACAAAATCTGGGGAGCCACCCATTCCCTTCAAATGACTTGCCATCAAGACCCACAGCACTCACAGGATGACGCGGCTTGACTCCCGCCGGAGGGCGGGCACCCTCTGCTCGGGCCCCCGGCTCCTGGCAAAGGGCACTACCCTCCGGAAACCATCTCAGCTGCATCCGCATTGTGCGCCTGTGCGCGGTTCACATAGCTCTTCCAGGCCTGACTCTGTATTTATATATATATTTATATATAGATACACGTCCCCTTTCAACATCCAAACAGAAACGCACTGAATACATGGCGACCTCCCTTTCTCTCTCCAGCATCCTCAATGGCAGCCGTCAGGTGATACAGTTGCAAAACCAGGGACATACAAGGACCCCTTGAGACTCGTCTGCTGCGAGGCACCTTTCAGCGCCGCCCGGCGCACGCCAAACCTGAGCCGAGTCATGGCGCACTCCCTTGACTCCGGCGCCTCAGACGCTGAGCCGCGCTGAGCCGCGCTGAGCCGCCGCGCGGGGCTGCGCAGGGCGCCGTCCTCGGGCTGCAAGCCCTGGTCCTCTGCCAGCAGGCTCTCCGATCCATCCGCCTCCTCCTCCAAGTCGTGGGCCTGATTGGACTTGGGAGCTCGAGGCATGGGTGTCCTGTTGCGAAAATGGATGGGTGTCCCTGGAATCTGGATTGAACCCATCCAACCCCCATCGATTTCCAAGCAAAGTAACCCAAAAGGGACACCTATGGTTCTAGGGACTTACACTCCCATCTAACACGGAATTTGGATTGAGGAACTGGGGATTGAGGTTCTGGTGGATTCCATGACAACTTGGACAAGAGGGTAAGGGGCGTGCACGGTGGTTTCTGGACCAGGCAAGGGCAAAACAGGAGTCGGCAAAGAAAAAATGACTTGGAGTGCTCAAGCAGATCATGACAAGGGTGCTTTTTGGGCGAGCCTTTTTGAAGGAAGGCTTGGGAATTCTGACACTTTTGTGTTTTTGTCGGGGTCAACCCTCAACCTTTTTCTGCCCAAAAGGCAAAGGTAAACATACCAACACCCGTCACAATCAACTGAAACATGTAGGAAAACCACGAACCAAGAGAACACAAATCATCACCAGGGAAATTGGAGGTCAACAACCACGTGCAGAATTGAAACAGGACGTTTTGTCACCGGCCTCTCAGTCTTGAATTGCACCCTGAAACTTTGCTCGAGAAAAGCTGCGAGAAGGATCCCAGTCTCTCCCTAGCATAAGCTGTCAAAATAAGGGGCCAGCCGTTGACCCTTTTGTGACAGAAATGCAATAAAGACACCCATAGGGAGCCCCTTTGCCCTTTTAGGGGGTTCCAACTCTATATGTTTTCCTCCGATGGGAGGAAGGAGCCTGAAACGTGGAAGAAAAACGGCTGCAGTTGCGCCGCAAGACGTATCGCAGGTGCATCTGGGCGATTTGTTTTTGCTTCACAAAGTGGACGTCAGCAATCCCAAGTAGGGAACCTTCATCAGCTTGTGTTACCCCCGAATTGGCGAGCTCGTGGTAAGTTGCCCAGATTTGTCACATGCCAAGTTCAGCCGCATGAATTCTGGCCGTGGTGAGGGCGGCACAGGCAAGAAGCCAAGCCCAAGCATGTACATGCGCGTCGCCTTTTGGCTCAGAACCCCTTCAGCCCATTTGGGAAAAAGGCCAGGGCAAGCGCAATATGGAACTGTCTTTTTTGGTCACGCGTTGATTCGGAAACTCATTGCCCGTATTCGGAGACTTGGAGCCCGGATTCGGAAACCAGGCGCGAAACTTGGAGTGGGAAACTACCGGCGCAAAGGCGCAAACTTGGAGTGCGGATTTGGGTTCGGGTTTCGCTTTCGTAGCGCTGCCTTGAACCTTGGACTTGGAAATATGTTGCGCGCAGTTGAACGGGTGTGCTTGTGATCTGTGTGGTAGGTGTGCTGCTGAAGCTTGCACGCAGTTGAATGGGAGTGATTCTCATTTTGGAAACGGGCGTTCTTCTGGGCGTGTTTTTCATTTTGGTGGTGCTGCTGGAGCTTGTGCGCAGTTGAACGGAAGCTGTTCCGAGGTTCTGAAGTGCGTGTGAATCCAATCAGGACAGCATCAAGTTTCTGAAGCGAAGTTTCTGAGCCGGGGCAAGTTGTTGAAGCGAGGTTTTTGAATCGGGGCAAGTTTCTGAATCGTTCAATGTTCGTCTTTTCTTGACAGTGCCCTTTCCTCGTTGGCATGAAGGGAAACCAATCGGAAAACCGACGCCATTTTGGCGGGCACCACCCGCAAGAAAAAAAGGCGCGCACACACACAGAGAGAGAGAGAGACACACACACACACACACGCAAACACACACACACACAAACACACACACGCAAGCACACACGCACACACACACACACAGAGAGACACACACACACACACGCACACACACACACAAACACACACACACACACACACACACACACACACACACACACACACACACACACACACACACAAACAAACAGTTGTCACAAACACACACACACACACACACAAACACACACACACACACACACACATGGGCGAAGGTTGCGGTGGTAAGTTTTGCCTTTGGAGCGCCGTAACCAAACCTCGAGGGGGTTGGAAAGCCATGAGAAAACACGGGGGAAAAGGAAATGTTCGAACCAAAAGCTGGTGAGCGGAATCAAGCGGGTAAGGTCACAAGGCGAGAGAACGGTCGCGGAAAGGCAGAACAGCAAAGCAAAGAAAAAAGGCGATCAAACAGTGCACCAATTCTTTTCCTGGTTGGGTGGAAGATGGTACACTTGCGCCCCGCTAAGCCGGGCGCTGCAGCGCGATGCCTCTCAGCATCGCAAACTTGGAGTGAAGGCACCACTTTTTGCCTCGGCGGCATGCGAAGTGGCGCCGCACGTTGTGTTGATCCTCGTGGCTTCCCCCGGATTCGAGGATTTTGTGCTGATTGATGGAGCGTAGTTCCCCAAAAGCGATGGCGCCGAGTTGAGACTTTCCGATTGTAAAGTTCTGCAAGAGCTGGCCGAGCGTGTCGGGCGTGCATGCCGTGGGGGTGGCCTGAGCGTAGCATCCAAAGCTCGGGTAGTCATGGTTCTCGGGCCTCCAAGCAGCGGGTCGGATCATGTTCTCATGGCACATGCGGCGCACTCGATCCGGGGTGGTGCCGTGCACATACATGACAGCGTGATGGGAGGCCGTGCCGGATCCAGCTTCCGGGTCTCCGCCAGCAACTGGCCAAGGATGAGGTCGGGGAAACCAAGTGGTTGCGAACACCATGCCGTGTGATTCCCGTCCCAAGAGGTGGTAGAAGCTGGGATCGAACGGTATGGGATCATCCGTGTCCATGGTTCGCAGTTCCCAGCATTCCGCGAGGAGATCGGCATGTGAAGGTGGCAAAGCAGGGTCCAGGTCCATCAAAATGGCCTTAGTCTGTTCCACCCTGGAGATGTCCAAGGCTGGAAGCGGGTCCAGCTCCCCCAACTCCCTAGGCGTGGGAACTCGCAGCGGGTCAGTCTTGGCCGTGTCCATGACGTTTCTCCATAGATCAAGCCACCGGTTGTCGGAAGTGGTGGTGGCATTGATGTCCGCCTCCGATGGAGGGGGATCCAAATCACCGGTGTTGTCGAAGGGGGGTTGGGGAGGGTGAGGAGTAGCCGGCGTGGGTCGGGGAGGGGGAGGGGGAGTGGAAGTGAAGGCCGCCGCAGGTGCTGGGTGAGGGGGCAAGCTAGTGTTGTGGTGGCCGGTGCGGGAAGTGGGGTGGGGTTGCTGCCCATGGTGCTGCAGTGACCAGGACGATCGTTTGCCCTGGTTGTTTCGGTGGCCGGTGTGGCTGGCGCCATGGTGGTGCATGTCCCAGCGGTTTTTGTTCTGTGGTGGGTATCCCCACGATTGGTTCCGCCAGTGTGAGGAGGACCATTGAGACTTGTTGGAATCCTTCCCGGAAGTGCGCCAGGAGGTGGAATCATGAGTAGTGTGAGTGGGTCGGTGCGAAGTCGTGGCTCTGGGTGCAGGGGAGTGTCGATGGTGGGACCTGTGTCGGGGGGAGCGGGAGCGGAGGGAGACAGTGGAGTGGTGTGCACGTCGGGAGTGGTGGAAGTGTCGGGAAAGGGAACGTGACCTGCTGTAGCTGCGGGATCGTCGGGTGTCGTGTCGTCGGTGCGACTTGTTGTGCCTGCGATGGTGGCTGGTGTGGGAGTGGGAGTGTCGGTGCTGTCTGTGGCGGGAACGGGATCTGCGAGAGTGGGGATGGTGCCGAGTGTCCGGGGGAGGGTGGTTGGTTGAGGAGGTAGCGGCAGGAGCCGCAGCGGCAGCTTCGGGCGCGCGCGCCGGCTGAGGCTCGGGCAGTGAAGATGGCATGCTGCTCTGAGTCATGAAAGGCATGATGGTGCCAGGTGCCAAGTTGCCGTAATTGGGAGGGCCACCGTAGGGCATCATGGCCATCGGGTTGCCAAAGTTCGAGAGGCCGCCGTAGGGCATCATGGGGAAAGGTGTGAAGGATGCCGTCTGCGAGTTGGGTGACGGTACAAGGTTCATGGGCTGCGTCATCTGGGATGACAGCTGCAAGTTCGGTCCACAATTGCCTGGTGAGCCGGACGCGGTGCCGGTCGCAATGCTATGCAGGAGCGAATGCATCATGTCATAGAGCTGGTGTCCAGCCATCTCGCAAGGGAGAGAGAAGGTTGGAAAGGGGTGAAAACAAAACCACAACTGCGGCAAAAATGCGTCAATGGTGCAAATGCATGCGAGCCAACTTCAACCTGCGAATCGAAACCAAACAGAGGGAATTCCACCAGGGGACCGCCAAAACCCCGCGGCAACGGCAAAAGTTTCCACAGAAATGCATGCGAGCACAAAGGGGTTCTCAGAGGTGCCTGTCAAGTGGCCTCATGAAAGTGCCTCATGTGGCTATGCCGATGAATCTGAACTGAACTCATCCGAGACGAAAGCTTCCATAAACACCACGAATTGCAGAGTTGGTGTATGACCAACTCGTCACTGGCGCATGAAGCTTAGGAACCTGAAACCTCGTGGGTGCAGCCTTGCTTCAAAGGCAGGCAGTGCAGGCAGTGCAACGCGCATGAAACCAGCAGAGCACCATTTGGGTGCGGAATACCTTAAGACCTCAAGCTGCAGCCTTGATCGTGGTCAAACGCGCTGAACTGAACTGCAGCTTGAATTTGAACACTTGAACGGTCTTCCCCTCGCAGGGGGCTCCCGCATGTGGCGAGTCCAGCCCACAGCGCCATGTCGGACAGGCCGTGGGTAAACACACTTATCTCGAGAGGCTTCACTAGCCGAGATGAAAAACGCAGTCAGTAAAAATGCTTGAATGCAAACGCAAATCAACAGGTCACAACATCGACACCGAACAGGAAGCAACAGCGACAAACAGAAACCGCAAAAGGAATCAGGAAAGAGGGTCAGGAAATAGGCAGGTACGCCGGATTGATCAGATCCGGTATCCACCGAAATGCCGTAGCTTCATTGGACTGGATAGGCAAATCGGCTCCAGTCCCCCTGCAATGTGGAATTTCCGTCCGTGCTCCAGGACGCTTCACACACACACACACACACACACACACACACACACACACACACACGCACACACACAGAGACACACGCAGAGACACACACACAGAGACACACACAGAGACACACACCACAGTTGCGGACACCTGGGCCAGGCAAATGTTCGAGACCAGCGCCGAGGCGCCCTCTCAGGCACGCACTTACGCCCCGCAACGCGCAACGCTGGCCTTGCAACGCGAGTTGCGCAACGCGGTACGTTCAAGTGTTCAGTGGAGTCTGAATGTCTTACAAAGTGTTCACTGCAGCAATCTACTGAAATTAGGTGCTCAGTTGGGTTAAAGTGTTTGGGGAAGTTCATACAAACTAACCCAAAAAGGAAAGGGCAGCCTTCGACCTCACTGTTTGTTTCTAGGTGCTTGACGTGACTTGACTACAACGCATTTCATTCACAAGCGTCGTTGGATCGATTGCATGGCTTCCTTTCATCTGTGCCCCCAAAACGGATCCCTGCGCCCGCAATGCGGGGCTGTCCTAAAAGCCAAGTGCAAACACTGCTTCGACAATTGCCAGATTGTGTGCTCTGCGCATGCCCGATCACGCTCCCAAACCACATCCCTTTTAAACAAGGGCCCAAGAGTTGTGGAAATCCCAAGGCCAAGGACACTTCCAAGTACTCACTGGTTGCCCCCACACGCCCAAGCAATCCCAGGCTTCCAGCGTGCATCAGACCATCTTCAGACACCGAAAACATGCGCCTGCTGCTTTGCTGGGCTGAAGCTCAACCGTGTGCCTGGCGCGCAGGGCCACGTGAGTACCCCAGCCCTGAACCACCAACACTGACCATCTTCAGACACCGAAAACGTGCGCCTGCTGCTTTGCTGGGCTGAAGCTGGGCTGAAGCTCCTTTTGCTTGAAGCACGCAACCGCGCGCCTGGCGCGCAGGGGTGCCACATGAGGACCTGGCACGACGCCCGTGATTTCTTCTACCTTACACATCGCCTGGGCACGGCTCAACCCAAGACAGTAAGGCTAGAAGAAATCACGGGCGCCGTGCCAGGTACTCACGTGGCACCCCTGCGCGCCAGGCGCGCGGTTGCGTGCTTCAAGCAAAAGGAGCTTCAGCCCATCAAAGCAGCAGGCGCATGTTTTCGGTGTCTGAAGATGGTCTGACACATGCTGCAAGTCTGGGATTGCTTGGGCGCGTGGGGGTGACCAGTGTTGGTGGTTCAGGGCTGGGGTACCTCCGTGGCACCCCTGCGCGCCAGGCGCGCGGTTGAGCTTCAGCCCAGCAAAGCAGCAGGCGCATGTTTTCGGTGTCTGAAGATGGTCTGATGCACGTTGATATGCAACCCAACCATTGTATTGAAACTCTGCACAAGGAAGAAGAACACTTGAACACCGTATGAGGAATCTAGTGGGCCCTGTGGATGAGAATGCCATTCACGAAGGCTTCTGCGCAGAAAACCAAGGTCTTAGCCTGTGATCCAAATGTTGCAGGAACTTTGAAAGAAGAAGGCTGCAAAGTAACACAAAAGCCCAGAAGCCTGGAAAGCCCGCTCGCACAGGCCGTGAGTTGCTGCAACGCGCTGGCGTGAGTTGCGCAACGCGATGTCGTGAGTTGCGCAACGCGCAGTCGTGAGTTGCGCAACGCGAGTGGCGGGGCAACTAAGGGCACGCAGACAGCCCCAAAGCGCTCATGAAAAAAGGTCGAGGTATCAAATCACAAGACGCTGCCGTGGAACCGGCGCTTTCGCCGGGAAATCGACCCGCAGCACTTGTGGTGCGGAGGGAGCCTGAAAGGATTCCAGCAAAATTTGCCGATCCTTTGGGCAACACTTCCAACAGAGTTGCCGACGAACCAGGTCATGGAACCACCTACCCCAACCAAAAAAAACAAGAAACCTTGGGCGTCGCACCCCTCAAAACCAACAAGAACGCACGCACGCCTGGATGGCCGAAAGGTCGGCGGGCGCGTCCCAGCACACAGCCGTCTGAAGAGGAAAGCCCCGCAGGTCGACTGCGCCTCAGGAGGCCCCCTTGTCGCGTGGTCAGCCGTCAGCCGCTCCGGACGCATTCATCCAGTGGCAGGGATCCTTCAGCCCATCACCAATCAACTGGGGGCTTTGTGGTCCTGCATGCACTCGAAAATCATGTTTCTGAAAAAGCAACCCGGCGACTTTTAACTCCATCTTGTCGGAAGCTGACTTACAGCTTGGCTGCTCACTCCTGAAATCAAGCAGCAAAGGGAGGCATACAGGCAAACATGACTGCGGCACCGGTTCATCCGGGCAAATAATTCACAAACTTGCAAATTCGCAAACCAGAAACCAAGAACCGGGCTAGTTACCTTCATGGGTGAGTTTCTTGTAGCTCGTCCAGTTCATGCCCCCTCTGATCACTGAACCTGATCTCGTGCTCTCGGCCTTCCGGTCGGGCCGGCAGCAGAACGCGGCGCACAGCCTCGCAGTGCATCCAGGCCGTTCGCAGCACATCTCATTTTTTGGGGAGAATGGTGGTGTTTCCCTTTGGTTGTGATTGGTTGGCGTTTTCTCCGTGTTTTTTTTTTTTTGTAGTTCTGCTTTTGTGTTGTTTCTTTGGATTCTGCAACCCGGACATGGATGGTTTCCCTGTGGTTGTTCCAATCGACCCCAAATACTGTATGAGTGTCGGGCAATCCTGTCTTTGCTTGGCCACGCGGCCGTGATGAAACGACTCTCGTCTTACTGCGACCTAGCTGGACATACGGCTTGAAGGTCAAACAAACTTCATCGACTGAATGTGCTGCTATTCTGCGTGCCGCTTGCTCAACCTTGTTCGCAAGCAGGTTGCTTTAAGTGGCCGACACCTTGGGAGAACAAGCAGTGCGGCCCCCAAGGGGTGCTCCTCCCAACCAAATGGAATACGCGCTTCGATGGCAAGGAAGAACTTTCGGAACTCCTGCAAAAGCATGAGCCCTTGCGGGGACAAAACGGACCAAAGGTTGCCTTCTGCCAATTCGGACCCACCGCATGACGAATAAATGCCATGTCATCTCCGTGTAGAACAACTGATTGAATCTCATGGGGCAAAAGCTCCCAAGCCTGCAGCTCGATGCGGTTTTGCTCCGTGCCAGACCTCAGGAAAAGGAACTGACACTCCGGGCTTCAGCCAGCCGTCCTTTAATGCAGACCCCCTTGCCTCCCACATGGAATCTGACTGGGGGGACCCCAAGAGGCCATGTTCCTCGAATGCGCTTTGGTGGGTGCCATGCGAATTGGGGGGTGGGTCTCGAACAAGCAGGAATATGGCCACGTCAGCTAGAGGCCCTAAACGCCGAAATTGGCCCCGGGCCAATTTGGCACCCGCGCTTTGGCGGGCTCGGCCTCGGCACATGGGCGGACCTGTGGCCTCTGATAGGGGGTGTCAAAACCCTAAGACTGTGTTGCCCGTTGGTTTTCCACAAAGGGCATGGAAGCCCAACCCCTTCCAGGTCAAAAAAGGGAGCAAATGACCCATTCGGAATCATTCGCGCAGAACCCGCCTCGCGTGCGGGGCCTGCGAGGGATGCACACTACTGGCCACAACCTCCAAGGTGCGAATTGTCCCGCGCCTTTCAAAGACGAGCAAAAGCTGCGGCATGTGTAGAGGGCCTGCGCCAGGATGCGCCAATTTCTTGGAACCCAGTCAGCAAAACCACGGCCTTCGCCAGATCATGCGACCACAGGCATTCCGCAATCCTCAGCACGTTCCATGTGTGCCCTCCAAAACTTCCCACGCCCATGCCATGTGCGGGAGAGCTGGGGCCAAGTGCAGGGCGACAGTTGGGCGTGACCTCGGATTCATCTCACAGGGCCTGGGCAAGACTGGCGAGGATCGCTAGGTGCGGGGCTTTGACACCCGCTCGGCCGACATCCACTTGAACCCGGCTTGCGGGAGAGAACCTTCCAATGCCATGCCTCACCACGGGTCATCTGACTGCATGAGAGCATCGCGCACCCCGGACGTCTTGCCAGGATCACTCAAACCTTTCTCCGCCGGAAGAAGCCGAGGACATCGCGCTACTCCAAAACCAGAAAACTTGGCAGTTCCCAGGGCGACTTCGAATTCGGCAGAACCTGCCAGAGCGCCTCTTCCGCAAGCAGGCAGCATCCTTCCGTTGCAAGCTGTGCGGCCGCCCTAGGAGCGAACACCGCGAAAAGTGCCGCGAGCCAAGGCCCAGCCGAGTGCCTCTATACAATCCTGGCAGGCCGGACCGATCTGGCCGGGTCTGCCGTTCGGCAGGAGGGTTGCCAAGTACTCTGCACATCTTGAACCACCTCCACCGGCCTAGGGCCTCATGACCAGCGACAGAAGCAGCACTTCTTCCTGAAAAAGTCAGCGCCAAGAGCCAACAGGCGGGTGTGTCACAAAACGAGTTTCAATGTGCTCAGTTCCGCTATGTTTTTTGTTTTTTTTTTCTCCCCCGGGGCAGGTAAATATGTTTCTATGCCTTTTGCGTACCCTCTCATCCTAATCCGCACAGAAATAAAACCCCAATACAAGGAGGGAAACACCTTCTCGCTACATCCGGCAGGCATCTTGCAAATTTGATTTTGACCAACTTCCAACACTTCACTTAACCTCTGTGAAGCCTTTCAGGACCCCAACCATTTGGGTCCAACCCTCCGGGCCCTTGAGTCAAACAAGGCCCCAACTTTCGGACACCGCCCAGCCAGGCGACCCCCGGCGGCCGTGCCCGGCCCACATGGGTCCTGGGCTCGTCCTCCTCACACGCGGTGATCGCCTGCAGCTTTTGCGGTCGCGGCCTCGCGGGGAGGAGCTCCCCAATCTTCTGGAACAGTTCCTTGACGTTCTCACCTGCGGATGGAATCCTTGTGGTGGCTCCCTGGGGTAAAGTGGTTGGCCCATGCTGCTGTTCTTTTTGCAGTGGCGCCTGCGATAAATGTCATGTTTTGAGGGTTCGAACTTGTTGGAATGGTTTTGAAGGGAAATTGAAGGGAAACCGCCTAATTTAGGAGTTGCCCTATTCTGAGACGAACTCAGGGGGATGATTCCGTTTCTGAAAGCGCGGAGAGCACCGCGTTGTTTTTGTGCATCCCAAATGGTGAAAAGGACGCTGCCATCCTTGGCTGCGAAGATTCAGCTCGCCGTCCTTGAGAACCAAAAAAGCCAACAGTCTGGCTGAAGTATTGCAAGACCACATCTGACGATTCCGTTAGGACCACCTCTGACGATTCCGTGTTCATTCTTTTAAACCATGGTTCTTTGCAACGTCCAGAAAAATATTGTCTTCAAGGAATGAGGGAGTTCCCTCTAGAAAAAGGGATTGGACAACTTACTCCCCCACAGGTGTCCACGCAAAACGGGACGATTCTTGGTGGCATCCATGGTCCAGTGTGTCCCTGAACTTGGCAAACCCCACCAAGTGATACCACGTGGGTGCCCAGCCAACTTTGGCCATATGTTTAAACCCCGGGCAAAGCTATGGCTTCCTCTCTTGGGACCCGTTCTTCAGCTTGAGCTCCCGGTTCGTGGCTGGAGTTCTCTTGTGGAGTGAGGCTGGGAAGCTCAGCCCAGGGAATTCAGGGAGCGGGTGCACCAGGTGTTTTACTACATTCCCCTCCGTTTCAACCACCAACCCACCACTGCAACTTGCTGGTGCTCAGCGATGAATGAGGGAATGAATTCTGCAAACCGTCCACTGTGGTTTCCTTTTATGCGGGAACACCGCTTCCGCATTCCCACCCGGATCATTGGGTCATTCCCTACCTACCGCACCAGCCACTAGGCCTCCATTTGCCCAAGTCCCCCATTTACAAAAAGCAAGTAGTGACCAACTCCCTTTAAAACCATCAGGCGAAAATAAACACAGATTCATTTCAGCAAATGGAAGGGGAAGAAACACAACCAGCCCAAAGGCGGCTCGGAGCGCTCGCTCCCCCACGCCTGTCTTGGCGCTGGTCTCCAGAAAAATCGCCCCCAGCGCCTCTGACTGTCGCCTGGCCTCCTCCGTAGCCACCGCCCTGCTCGCCTCCAAGTCGGCCTGGCCACGGGTTTGAGCGGCGTCCGTGTGCGGTGCGCATAAGTTGGGCGCCTCAAACCCTCGAACGACCCATGACAAAGGGATCTCACCCCAAAAATTGTTTGGGCAACCGATTGGTGCGGAAGTCTTCAGGGCTGCGATGTGTGTTTGTTGCTGGCTGTCCTTTTAGTTTCCGGCATCCTCAAAACAAGACACCTCCATTTAGACGCTCTCAAGAAGTGCCCAAGGCGAAAGTGTGAAGGGCAAAGTCAGCGATGGTCTCCTGGGGTGCCTTGGCCGAAGTGGGTGATGAGAGTAAGGTGTGAGCCACCAAAGGTGTCAAACCAAGAAGGAGTGGCATTGGTCAGTGGATGACCCTGATGGCATCAGCTTGACTGGTGATACTAAGTGGCAGGCAGACCTGTCATATGACAGGTCTAAGGTAGAAAGGAGGCAGCCATGGGACCAAATGAGACGAGCCAAATTCTGAGAAAATGACGTGCCACCACCCTTCAACCAGTGCCCTTGCTAGCTGCTAGCTGTTCCATCTATTACGTGCTCCTGACTGTGCAGGATACCTACCTCTGGCTGTCAATTCTAAAGGGAACCCAAGTTTGAGACATACCTGTCCACTGGTCGCACTTGGAACCTGGGAGCCAGCCGGTCAAAGAAGCGATGGACTCTGCAGTGTGGCTACTGCACACTGGGCAGAAGCTAACGATATCGACAACACCCCCCTTTTTGGGTTCTATGGTAAGGGGCTACCCAAAGAATGTTGTCTTCAAACCCGCCTGCCACTGGAGGAAGGGTGTCATCCCCCATGTCCCTTTCAGGTTCCGCATCTTTTTGGGAGGGTACTCGGTAGTTCGTTGATCCCGTATTAAAGGCCAAACTTTCAGTGGGATATGTCATACTGTGATAGGCCCCTCGAAACCCTAAAAGTAGTAAGGGTAAAGTCAAAAAGTCTGAGGACCGCCAAGGGTGAAGATTAGAAATTCTAAACATCCAACCAACTACCATATCCTTACAGGACTCCTGGTAGCTCCTTAGCCTTAGCTCCCTCTTCAAAGGCAAAATTGGATACTCCCTCCGTAGCTCCCTGCCAACCACCAGGAGCCAAATTTCAGCGGCCGTGAGCGAGTTCTTTTGACGCAAGGGGGCCTTGTTGCCCACCAGGGCCAGCAGCGCACCATCCGGGCCCAGCTCTTTCTGGATCTCCTCCACCCAATGCCTGGAGATCCGCTCGGGACCCTCGGTCATCCATTCAGGACTCCACGGGAGAAACCATGCAGCTACCAACTGGCAAGTTGGGTGTCCGAACCCCGAGTTTGTGACACACTCTCGCTTAATATGCCATGTTCAAATCCAGACAAAAAGTTGCCTTCACCTGGAGAAACGCGACGGAATTGTCCGTACTATTCCTTGGCGCAACCTAAAAAACTAACAATATGAAAGGCGTCCTTACTGTGGATGGAGAAAAAAATCACCAGGGATGGATGAGCCCCTCTGAATACTTTTTCAGCGCCCCGTGTCCAAAGCCCGGGCCTAGATGCGGAGAAGGACTCCGGTTTGGTGATGTCATACCTGAGCCGAACGCCGTCTGGCAAGGAGAGCCAGGGGGAACTGGGCCCTCAGATCCCCCGCAAAAAGTTTAACTTTTAGTGGTTTTAAATGGAAACTACCACTAAAGACTAAAAGGCTAAAAAGCTAAGGAACCGGCTGGCTGGGAGCCACCAAGGTAACGTCCCCCATTCTTTTCAACCATCGTTCTTTTCAAAAACCAGCTGTTTCCCCGGGGTTTTGGGTGGTTTTTTAGAAAGAATGATGCCTGGAAAGAATGGGGAAGGTACCCCTAGAGCCATGGGGTCCCCAAACTTTGCCCAAAAAGCGTAAGAAAAGGTCACTAGTCACTACTCCTAGTCACTACTCCGAGCTCCACTTTTTTCCCAGGCAATAGTGGGCAGTTGGCTCCCCAAAAACCTTCCGATCATCAGCTTCCATTCATGTTGGAGGGAGTGTAGTCATTATTACGGCAGCCTAATATTGAAGCCACTTGACCTGGCCCTGAAACGGTACATGAATTCGCGTGTGTGCGAACCCTCATACAGGTGGTAGGCCAGTTGCCTAGGTGACTCTGGTAGAAACGGGAACCCGACCCATGTTTCGGGGTTGACATTTCTGTGGTGGGGAGCTGGCCCTTTCCTTAAAACCAGCCAGCGGATGCTCGTTTCTCTCCTGCCTGCGCCCAGAGAAAGCAAGGGGCCCCGCATGGCCAATCCCAGTCCACCTCCTTGGGTGAACGGACAATTCATCCGCCAAAAGGAAAAACCGTTTCCCGTCGCAGCCCTCTCTTTGCGAGGGTGCTCATTCCACTCCCGCATCCACCCTCAAAACCTATAGCGGACATAAGGCCTGATGTAAATGATGCGCTCCAAAGGGTCCCCAATCAACATTCACCATGTTCTTCGAAACGGAATGGATCCAATCCAAATCCGCAACCCGCAGCGAAACGCCACCAGGGAAGCCACTTTCGTCTGGCATAAGGAGTTGAGGATTGATTTGGAACACCAACCCCAAGTCACTGTAGGGTTTGCCGTCCAGACCATCCAAGTCAAAAAGCGACCCCCTCCCCCTTCCTTCCCCTTTTCCCCCCCCCCTTTCCTGCCCCCTCGCCCCGTGAGCTTTCGGACCTGACCGACCCGAGCTCCGAGCCACACCACCACGGCCACGTCCGCTCCCGCCAGGTACGCTGGGATGAGGCTGCGGAAACGCTCCTGCCCCGCGGTGTCCCAAAGCTTTAGCCTCGTCGTCTCATCGGACACGTGGACCTGCAGCAAGCTGAGCATGTATGAACTCTACAACTCTTAGTATGGTAGCAAAACACTTTTTTTGTTGCAGCCCCCTTGTTTTGTTTTGTTTTTGTGTGTGTGTGTGTTATTTTTTGCAGCCCCCCAATAAAGCCAAACAACAAAAACCGTCAAGTTGTATGAACCTACTTGAGCCATGGTCGACCATGGTCATCCTTCCGTTATCATGGTTGTCCGAAATCCCGATTGAGGGTCCATCGCAATCCCTATCAACCCCAAGTGGAACATCCAAGCTTGAACCCCTGGCCTGGAAACTATAACTCAACTATGAAAAGTCAGCGTCCAACGGGGGCTAAAATGGCCATGGCCTCATACCTGGATGGTTTTGCCTTTGATGGCGGCAACAGTTGGGCACAGGTTGCGCCACGAGAATGTTTCAGGGATCCACTGCAAGCCTTGAGGCACACATGTAGGGCCCGGAAACATGTCCTTCCTCCTCGGATTGGCTCGGGGCGGACGTATGGTGGGGGGAAGGGGGGTTCTTTTTTGAAGTGGTGCCTTGCTTCAGCACTTCTGCCCTTTGGGCCGAAGCGAGGGGACTAAAAAGCAAAATGGGTTAGAAATGCCCCCCCCTCCCCAACTCCTCCGCAAACACCACGGCAGCGCCTGCCTTCAACACCTGGTAGTCCAAGGCAAGCGTAGGAAGCAGATCTGGATGAAAGGTCCATCGCGCGAATCGCAGCACCAGTGAGGACTTGCCAGTGCCCGTGTCACCCACGAGCACCACCTGACACGGGCGCGCGCGCGCCATGCGGCAAGGAACTGGGGATCATGACGCCAGCTGATTTGGAACTTCCAGCATGGATCAAAGTAGAAAAACCAAAAGGAAAAAAAGCACGGCCTTGGGCAAGTGAGCGTTGGCACAGTTGAATCACCAACATTTGAAGACATGTTCAAAAGCGCATGCACGTGTGAAGCTGTGACTGTTGCTGCCATGGAAGGGGGCAGCTGAAACATGCCGCAGGGCATCCTGTAAGATGCCTGGTTGCGAAAGAAGAACACCGCAAAGGCCTTCAACCGCATGTCCTTAAGGCTCCATGGATGGAATCGACCGTTTCTTCTGCCAATCTTCACCGTCGCTCTGCATGGTGCGCAGCTCAAGTCGTTGCAGGGCCAGCAAGAACCCCATGCTTTCCGTCGGCCGGGCCGTTTCGTTTGGAAACACCCAAATGAAGAAACATGCGGGGTGGTCTTCCTTTAGACTGCCCGGAACTGCCCCGAAACTGGCGGTTTTGCTTCTGATTGCCCACCTAAACCCCTCCAAGAGGAGAGAGAGGTGCCCTAAACCGAGAAAAAAAAAGAGAGAGGTGCCCTACCAAGAGGAGACGCCCCGTGCCCCACGTCATTGGCTCGCGCCCTAACTTCCCCCCGCCTTATAGCTGGGCCTCAGGGCCATGGATTGCTCGATCTTCAAAACGAACTGCGGGCAGGTGACCTCTTGGTTAGACATAGATGTTGTCTTTTTTGTTGTTTCTTTTTGTTTTCCCTTTTTTTCTTTGTTCTGGTAAGTGGCTGGGGGGCATAAATAACCCAACCTACACCAGATAAACCCATCTGTGTCCAATCCGTTTGTTCAATCCTAAAAACGGCACCCCAATGGCGCTGAATTGGGAGGCTGCCGATTGAATGCTGAGGAGTGAGGTCAGCCAACCTTCAGCATTTGCACTTGCAACTTGGCCCATATGAAACTCATGCTGTCTGAAGCTGTCCCATATATAGCTAACCCCAAAAGTCTTACTTCTGGAGGAGACGGCCCTGGTCCCTTCTCTCTGTCTCTGCGCAGCCCCTTTCTCCGCCGGGTGCTTTTCCGGTGCTCGACGCCCTAGACGAAGGCCTCGCAGAGCCGTGCGACCCGGTGCTTTTTGCAACAGGTGCGGCAGGGAAACCACTATTTACACACCGAAGTCAAAAACCCTACCATACTGGTAACCGATGAGGGTGCCCTACCACTAACCCAGCCATCATAAAACCCACAACTGAGGGTACGCTGCAAGAAAAGCCGTACCCATGAACAAAGTTAGACTACCCTTAAAAGTTCGTCAAATTCAAAGGGACTGCCAAGGGCACACGTTCAATCACCGTGCACACCATAAAGCCCCTCGCCGAGAGGAATGCCCAACTTGCTGGTCCAAGTAAAACCCAATTCGGGGAGAAAAAACAACCCTTGGAAAATAGAGGCAGCATGCAAGAGTGACGCGGTGAACACAGACAACCCAGACGCCGCCTGATCTAAATCCAAACCCACTAATCCAAGGACGCCACGGGGACAAGGGGTTCAAATACAGGAGCCAGAGGTTCACATCCAAATGCAAACCCACAAGTCCAAATCACCAAGGGGACAAGGGGTTCAAATCCAAACCCACCAACCAAAACCACCCAGGAGACAAGGGGTTGAAAACCAAATTCAAACCACCAAACAAAACCACACTTTTGTGGCTATACAACAAACCGGGCTTCAAATCCAAATCCAAATCCCAACCCACCAATCCAAACCATTAAGGGGACAAGGGGCCCAAATCCAAACCAAGCAATCCAAACTATCCTTTTCTGGCTATACAAAAACCAGGGGTTCTTATCCAAATCCAAACCCGCCAATCCAAGCCACTAAGCAAACAAGGGGGTTAATCCATATCCAAACCACCAATCGAAACCACCCTTTTGTGGCTATACAAGATCCATGGGTTCAAATCCAAATCGAAACCCTTGTCGCCTTGGTGGCTTGGATTGTGGATTTGAAGCCCGGGCTTTTGTATAGTCACAACAGTGTGGTTTTGGTTGGTGGGTTTGGATTTGGATTTGAAGCCCGGGCTTTGTATAGCCACAACAGTGTGGTTTTGATTGGTGGTTTGGATTTGGATTTAAACCCCTTGTCCCCTTGGTGGATTGGATCGGTGGGTTTGGATTTGAGCCCCTGGTTCTTGCATACCCACAAAAGGGTGGTTCGGATTGGTGGTTCCAAACCACCAAGGGGACAAGGTGCTTTAATCCAAATCCAAACCACCAATCCAAACCAGCCTTTGTGGCTATACAAAAACCAGGGTTCTTATCCAATTCAAACCCGCCAATCCAAGCCACTAACCAAGAAGACAAGGGGTTTAAATCCAAATCCGAACCCGCCGATCCAAACCACGCTTCTTGGGGTTATCTGACTCGCGGGGTTCATGGGACCCCGCCCACCCAAACCCAACCTTTGGGAACCTCCGTTTGAAGTTTCGACGGCTTCGGCCTCGACCATCCGCAACTTCTTCTCGGTGGCATCCAGCCGCTCCTGGCGCATCTGCCAGGGCCACGGACCCCAGAAGGTCCCTAGGGCACCAAAAGGTGGGGTCTCCGGATCTCAGCCTCCATTTGCTCAAGTCCCCCTGAAAAAAAAAACAAAAATACGTCCTGTAGCGCTAGATTTCGAAAGGAAGGTTCTGCACTTCCATGCTTGGTGACAGATTGATTAATGTGCCTTTCCAGGCTTACGGAAAATCCCCTTCAGGGGCTTAACTAAGCCCCGGGGATATTGACCACCCGCTCAAAAGGAAACCCCAACTTGACGGACTCATTGACCACAAGGAAATCTGACCGGGGGACTCAGGGTGAGGAAAAAAAACACGAATGTTGACCCCAGATCTGTCCTAATGGGCGTGTTTACCTCCAAAACCCTAGGAGTTGGTCCCATCTCAATCAGAATCAAGAAGGAGTTCTACTTACTTCCATTTGCTTAAGAATATGTTACATGTTCCCCTGTTGGTTTTAAAGCCGAAACCTCCGGGTCACCCTTCAACAGGGGTGCCTCGAAAGGAGGGCCTTCTGCCAAACAACTTCTCAAAACAACAAAAACGAGAAACCAAACAGTGACACTCCCTGGACTCCGTAAGGAAGGGGGGTGAGGGAGTCAGATGGTAAAATCCCCGGTTGGATTTCTATGGACACAAAGGGGCATTTAAGGAAATGGGGCAAAAGGGACAACCAAAAGGTCGAATTCAGAAGGTCGAATCAGTTCAATCCCCAGGTTTCACGAATGATGTTCCCCTTTCAAAAAAAAACAAGTCACAGAAAGGAAGGCATTTCCCACTTGTTTACATTTCCAGTTGGGTGACATTTGAACCCAACCCCAAAGAAAAGAGAAGAAAAGCTAGACGAACCTGGGAACCCTGCGCACCCCCAACAAGCAGAAACCAACAAAATCAAAAACCGCAAAAGAAGAACAGGAGAAACAAATACCCCAAAAAAGACAGAGACACAACAAACACGGACACACGGAAAGAAGAAAAGAACAATCTTCTTCGCCTGCACGGCATCCAGGTTGCTCTGATGGGCTTCCAGCAAATGCGCCATCTGCGCCACCGGGTCGCAGCTGCCCTGGCCACAGGCCGCGGGGCTTTGAGAGCCCGGGAACCGGTTCCCCTCAGGGGGGCGCAAGCGAGGCCGAAGGGACCTGAAAGTCGGTGATCGCCGTTTGGGACCCATCACCTGTTTGGGACCTTTGGTTAAAAAATGGTCACCAAAAAGGGAAGTCCGAAAAATATCGAAAGGTCGACTCGTTTGGGACAAGCGAGGAAATGGTGCAAGTCCTTTTGGCCCAATCCTTTCGGTTTCTACCTTTGAGCCAACCTGAAGAGGGCACCGAGCCAACCAAACAAAAAGCGTCCCCCAAATATCGCCGATGAGTGCCCCCCTCAATCGGTCAGCCCGCGGGGTGTGCTTCAAAGAACATTTCGGTCAACGGAAATGAAGGTTTCCTGTCGATTTCCAAGCGGACACACTGCCCGCTTGGAAACTATCCGTATGCTCTGAGGTCAAATCCATGTCCTGCTTAGTCAGCTGCCCGTCCGTGAGAGCCAGTAAGGAACCACGGACGGGCCTTTTGGTGAATTGTGGTGCCCTCTTTGGCCTGTGGTCCGTTTAAAGGGACGACAAAAGGAGAAGAACCATTGTTAGGGGTCTCCCCATTTTGCTGAAGCTGGAGCACGGCTCTGGGGAACGGAACCTGGTGGCAAGCGCCCATGACGAAGCCCAAGAAACCAGCACTCGATGCCGCATGGCGAATGCCACATCGCGCCTGGTGGTTGATCTGGTCAGCCAACGTCCGCGCCTGAGTCCGGAAATTCCTTTCTGGCTTCCTGGAAGCCCAAACCCCTGCTTACAACCAGCCCGGAAATCTGAACCCGCATTCGAAAGAACCGTCAGAAACTCGGGCCTGGATGAGATCAGTTCTCGGTTTGGCTTTCTCGCGGCTTTATATGCGGGGCTCTGCCTGTCTGGTGAGCTCGTCGAGCTGTTGGCCCAGCCCCATGACGCGCTCCTCCAACCTGGCGTGGGCCTAACCAGGTACCCATGGGTACCCTGGCATGTCAATGGTGGGCGCGCGCACCTCTACCTTTTTGTTTGTGTTCGGCATCCTCTGTGATGCGTTTCTTTTTTCCAAGGGCCATTGCATGTTGGGCCTTCAGCCACAAGGAGTCGACAATGCAAGATAAGAAAGACATGCATCGCCCAGGTCCGGGCCCTGCTCCAAGGTTCAAGGCAACCTCCACATCTCTCTATGAATATTTGACGTCCAAGGGGCTACATGGCCTCTTTGACTTGTAACATAAGGACATAAATACTGGGAATGGGGGGGGAAGTTGAAGGCTTCAAAGTAGAATCTGTGACCACTGCAGGTGAGCGGTTCTTCAGCTGATGTTCTCACATCTAGGCCAAGGCCTGACCGCACTTCGCGACTTCTTGGCAGTCCTCGGCGAAAAAAACGGGAAGCGAGCGATTTCCAGGAAGCCTGGAACCTCTTTGGAGGCCAATTCACATGCTAAGGGCTTCTTCCCTTTCACCTACCACTGAACTAAGTTTAGTCATCTGGTTCGCCAAGAATATGTCAAAGAACTCCTCCGAACCAGCTGAGGTTATCTTGAGCTCCCAGGCTCCCAGGCGCCTGGAACCAGATAAAGCGGGACTCAGCTCTCAGGCGCCCGCGAGCCGAGGTCCAGCTCGTTTTCGAGATGGCCCAGGAGATTGGACAGCAGCTCCTGACATGGGCTTCTCTGTTTCTCTTAGACTCCCAAAAAGGGAGCAGAGGGCTCCTCGTGGTTTTCCCTTAAAATCCAACCAAGGGGTTCCGCCAAGAAGTACTCTCCAGCTTTGCAGCCAAGGGTTAGCCCAGCACGGACAGTGCACGCATAGCTCCCCAAACTCATTGGCCCTGTGGCCAATTCACCTAGGGGAGCCACAGAAGGGGGAGACAACTAGATTCTACAATCACGCCTCGCTGCCATAATCGCTGACTGGAGGCGGCAAAACAATGTGACACTCATGTATGAACAAGCGGACATGCACGGTTGTCGAGCGAATTGCTGTGTCAAGCAAAGATTCAAGATGAGTTAAGGCTGGCATTTTTTCTTCGCACCCACGACAAAAACGGGCACCGGGGCTCCAGAAAGGACTCACCCAAATCCGTGCGCAGATAAAATGTGGCAGCAGCCCACCGTGGCAAGGAACATTTCGTTTTGCCTTTGGCATCCCGACAAATGTATGTTTCTTTGGGTGCTTCCAGGCCTGAAACCGGCAAGGGCTTTGCACCAGGTGTGCTGGTTTGCTATGGGATTGTTTTTCCGGAAACGGGCCCCCGAAAAACACCTGGTGCTTTCATTTCTAGATGTTACATCCTGGTTTCTCTTGCTTATTTACGATAATGGCAACTGGAAGCGCGGAATGTTCCATGACAGCGGCCCCGAGAAGGAACATGTGCTTCCTTCAGGCAGGAAACCGACGATGTTGGCCACAACCATTTTTTCATGGGCAAAGGAGAAACAATGGCCTTGCCGAGCGTGGCATGCCAAGAGTTGAAACCTACATTTTTCGGGTGCGAAGCCCATAGACGTTTCGAATGTTCAGTCCCCTTCAAAATGGCCAGCTCGGCCATCCACCCTAAGCTAGCACCGGAAATCGATCCTTTCTGTGCTCCGATGACTACGCTACTTTATCTCTTGGTATCACAGACTGTGCACCTGAAACCCGTCCTTTTCACAACCCTGCTGAGCACGGCAAGCTGGGTGCTGACAAGGGGCTTTGGACAAAGTAGACAGAATAATTACTCCCCCCTGTTGGATCTGTTGGTTTCCTCTTCGGAACGTTGCAAGTCATGGGTTACCCAGAAGCCCAGAAACCCTCGAACCGATTCACTCAAGCGCCTGCTGCTCATGGATCAACTGCATGGAGTTCTCCGCGGCGTCCTTCTTCCGCCTCGTGCAGGTCTACGGGACTTCGGGGGCCCCAACTTCCACGTATCTGGAAGAGATGTGTCCGGAATCCATGAAATGTTGACTTGGAAAGCAAAACCCTTGGTGGATTTTGAGGGAGGGTTGCCGTTAAATGTGGGGGGTTCATCACTTTGAAAGGGTGACACTGCCCCTATTGAAGGACGGGTTTCAACATTAAGAGCGCAATCACGAGCTCGCACATGTGTCGCTGGCTTCGGACCCCCCGTGTGTTTAATGGGTACCCCGTTGTCAGTTTTGTTGGAAAACACGAGGAACACCATGGGCCCGACACTTTGACGCACTCTCTCACTAGGCCCCTGGCAAGAGCTGGTGCCGCTCTTCCTTCACAGCCTCCAAACAAATAGCTTGTCTTGAGCATCCCTACCAAACATGGATGAATGGATGGATGGATGGATGGATGGATGGATGGATGGATGGATGGATGGATGGATGGATGGATGTGGAGGGTTGGATGGATGGGAAGGGAGATGGATGGCTGGCTGGCTGGATGGACGCCTGGCTGGCTGGCTGCACGAATGGATGGGTTGAACCGGCCTACAAGTCCTTGGGCGTTTTTTTCAAAATGGGCGGACCTCTTTTTGGGGGGGCTTTTTAACGGCACATGCATTTTGAGAACCCCCGCGCAGTTCAGCTCGGAGCTCGCCTGAACCCTCTCGTCGATGGAGGTGTACTCTCTGTCCAGCTCCAAGGCCTTGTCCACGGCGACCTTCGCTTCCGTTCTCGGGGTTATAGGTATCATTTGTTTGAGTGTACCCAACGGAAACTTCAAAAGGACACCGACTTCTTCCTCTCTCTTTCTTTTTTTTTGTGTTTTGTTTTGGGGGGGGGACTTTTTGTTTGGCCCTGTTTTCACACAACCCAGGGGGTTCCCCATGAAGCTCACGATCGGAGTTGCCCAGCACTTCACTGGCCCCCAACTTTACATCACCGGTGCTGCTTAAATAGGCGGATAGTATGCCTCACAAAAAGCTACGCATGGGACCGAACTACTCCTGGAAGATGAACTTCTAAGAGAGGAACCCCGGCTTCTTCTTGGTTTGGCTAGCTGCAGCACATGGCGACTGCAAATACTTGGGAAGCCGCTGCTGACATGAAAACCACCACCACCACCATCACCACCACGTCACGTCTCACACAAGCGAGGGTCATACATCCGAGGGTTGGCTTACAAGCCCTCATGTTCCAGAAAGGCCCCAATGTCTGACTTTGACCCCTAGACGAAGAATTGTTGGCAGCTTAGCGAAAAGGGAAGACAACAAGGGGCATTGGGGAAACCAAATAGGGATCAAGGCCCGAGGCAGGACACATCGCGCCTTCACAACCTTCGCCTGCTCTGCAAATCGGCCTCGCCGCGTCTGCTTGCTCCCTGCAAGTTAACATGGAAACCACAGAGGGGGTCCTCAACCAAAGACGGTTCCCAAAGACGGTTCCGCCCAAAAGAATCGGCTTGCTGGGCTCCATGTCGTAGATCTGCAGGCTTCATTCTGAAATAGTGATGTTGTGGTGATGTTACTGTTAAGTTACTGGTACCGTATATTGCTGTGATTAGGTCATAATGCATCTAGCGTGATGTGCCATTGTCTTTCTGACCGTCTTTCGCTTTTCGGGGTGGGATCCATTGCTGATTTGTTTTTCCAGGAGGTTTTTGCGACCAGGTGGGTGGCTACTCCTCTGAATGCCTGAGGTGCGCGCCCGACAACTGCAAAACTCTTGCAGGTACCACTCCCAAAAAACCAAGAAAGACAACAAACAAACCACAACATGAAGCGAATCATCTGGAGGGTTCCCTACCAGAGACACAGCGGGCCCCACAGAATCTAACGATTCAGGTAGGCACAAAGCGAAACTGGGCAAAGTCAACAGCAAGTAAGCCCTGCGCTCTCCCAGTTTTGCATCAACTCCTCCACTTTCTTCTGCTCCTGGCCGCTTCTGCAACCACTGTCAGCTCAACCACTCCCACTTCTGCTGGTGGAACATCCGCGACAGGAGTGCGCCAAGCGCTTGCCGAAACCCTGCTGGTGTCCAGCGTGCCATCTGACTTGAAGACTTTTGAACCATGAAGATCCACACTCATACTTTCTCAACCTTGCAGTTAAAATCATGCACGATCCCGAAGCAAATCCGCATACAAAGTCACTCGTGCAAACGTCCAACAGTTCTCAGCCTGCATCGTTTTTGCGGACTCTCAACATATACAAATACCCCCCCCCCCCACCAAAAAAACAAAAGGAAACAGCTCCCCGCACCATACGTCATACGTCATACCCCGGTCCTGGGCGCTCAGGGCGGGCGGTGGAACCGGAACCGGAACCGGCGCCGGAGGCGGCGGTTTCGCACCTTGCTTGCGCGCTCTGGGCGCGCGCGCGGGTTGAGAATGCCGCCAAGGCCACCAACCACGTTCACCATTCTAAGAGGGGGCCCATTTTGTCCCAAGGGGTTCCCCCTTTTGGGATGCCCTGGGCACCCAAAAGAAACATTCAGGTACATGAGAAACCCAGAGGACAATCCAACCCACCAAAAAGCTGCAACGAGGCACATGCCCCTTCCAGTTCCCAAGGCGGGGCTCACCCATGAAAAGACCCCTCCTGGGACTCCTGGTGGACGGTCCTAATCAAACGACGCAGATAGAACCTCTGGGGATTCCCTTGCTCGCTGGGGAGTTCCCTCCAAAAGTGGTCTGAAGGCCCAAAAGGAATTGGACACCGATCCTACGTCCACTTGAAGAGGTTGTGCAATCCAGGTTCCATGCACCCCCCCCCGGCCCAGCTGGCCCGCTTTCAGGGGGAATGACCAAGGCCCTTCCAACATCTTCCAACCCCTGCGCCCGACTGAGGAGCACACTGGCTGCCTGGCGCCGTGGCAATAACTCTGACTGCAGGCTCGACGAAAAAGGGGCGGTGGATGCAAGAAAAGGGGTGTTGGATGGGAATCCCGTAAAGTAGAGAGCCCTAGGTCGTGCTTGACCACAGCCGTTTGGCAGGTGTGCCGCCCTTTTTCCTGCGGTTGGGGCATGCGTCGTCGCGCACTCGCATGCGAAAATCGCCCCTATCCTTTGCAGCCCAAGGCGGTTGCTTGCGTTGATGGGCTGAGGGCTAAGTTCCTCACAGGTCTTCAAAAGCCACGGCCCAGGAGCCGCAGTGCTTCACCCAGGAGTTGCTCTCATCCCGCGCCAGCTCCTCACGAGTTTGCGCGCAAGCTAAAGCACAACGGCATCCGGACACACGTGACGCATGGTCCTTCTGGTGGTCAAATGGATGCTCCCTCCTGGTTTCCTCCAAACATCGCCTTTCTCTATTGCCTTATTGGGGCTTCCCTTCTATTGAAAGGAGAGGGGGGGGGACGCGAGGGGTTGGATCCTGTCCGGACATGTTTCACCAAGTGGGACTTCTCCTGCGGCAAGGGCCAGGACTGCCAGGACTGCCAGGTCCGCCCAGTCGCCCCGAAGATTTGCACGTGGTCCCGGCCCAGG